CTCATCGATGCACCGACTACATTGGCTTGTGCGCCCACCAGCACTGTACCCTCTCTTACTACAGCAACGTCAACGACAACAACAACTTTAACGTCTGCGGCTACCCAGTGGCCTATCTCAACACCACAAGCAAAACCCAGCTCTACTGACCCTCTTACGAATAATACTCTCGTACAGACGGGGATCGATATAAAAGAAAAATAAAAAAATAAAAATAAAAAGAAAGCTTAGTCCACAAAAAAACGTAAACTCAAATTTGCCAAAAGTAGCGAAAACTTTAGGCAACTCACGAACATCCGAAAACAGATTTGCCATACTTGGCGAGACCGAAGAAGACAAGGGTCAGGCGCCTCAAGTCATGAAAGCTGTAAAGCCACCGCCAATATATATTAGGAAATCAATAAGCTTAAACAAGTAATCGGGCCTAATCACTTCTATATCAACACCCTAAAAAGAGGAAACATATTAGAAGCAAAACTCCAGGTTAACAACGAAGACAACTTCCGTTCTGTAACAAGATATCCCGACAATGAGCTTATAAATTACTACACTTACCAACTAAAAAGTAAGAAAGGCCTACAAGTTGTATTTAAAGGTATAGAATCGACTGTTGCGGTAGCAGAAATAGCTGAAGGCCTCACGGAAAAAGGCTTCGACGTGAAGCACATCGTGAACATAGTAAACAGGGATAAAATTCCTCAACCACTGTTTAAGATTGAGCTGGCCCCAGAGACGAAACCTCTAAAGAAAAATGCAGTGCATCCTATTTACAATCTGCAATATCTCCTTTACCGAAGAATCACCGTAGAGGAACCGCATAAGCGGAACGGCCCCGTACAGTGTACAAACTGCCAGGAGTTCGGGCATACAAGAACCTACTGCACCCTGCGTCCAGTTTGGGTCGCCTGTGGAGATTTGCATTGCATTGAAGCATGCCTGGGAAACAAAGAAGACCCTACTCTGAAAAAATGCAGTAACTTTGGGGGAAATCATACTGCCAACTACCGGGGCTGTCCCGTCTACAAAGAACTCAAGAGCCGGCTAAATCAGAGACGCAGTAATCCACTCGCCGCTCAACACTCTGCCCAACCAAACATCTTCACCCCATCAACAACCACTCCTGGTGTCTCCTTTGCCAACGCACTCCGCTACCCTGGAATCTCACAAACATCTACCGCCCAACCTGCAGCATTGCGTCCACAGCCACCCATATGAAATCTAAATGGTTTTCCGCTCTTAAGCCAAAATGGCCAAACAACAACTCAACCTTCTACGCAGCAAAACCAAACTCTTCCCCCACAAACACTTAGGGGTCTAGAATCTACACTAGCTACTCTTGCAAACGTCATGATGACGATTCAAAGTTCCCTTCAAGAACTACTGTGAAACCAGAGCCTTCTAATGGAACTGCTGATCAAACTAAAGTCTGTATAAATGGACTCCTTAAGAATATGCTTCTGGAACGCAAACGGCGTTTCCCGGCACAAAAACGAACTCCTACAGTTCCTAAACAGCCACAATATCGATATCATGCTACTTTCTGAAACCCATCTAACTAATAAAAACTACTTCCATATCATCGGATATATATTCCACGCGACCAACCACCCGGACGGTAAAGCACACGGAGGTCGGTACCTCATAAAACAACGCATAAAACATCATCCCTTGGAGACATTCGCTACTAACTACCTGCAGGCCACATCCCTACGTATAACCACGCTTCAGTATTGCAGAAAATGAGTTTATGAATTTCTACAACTCACTAGGGCGCTGCTTTATAGCTGCCGGTGATTATAACGCAAAGCATCCCCACTGGGGATCTCGTCTTATCAACCCCAAAGGCCGCCAATTATACAACGCTATCATCACTCCTGGTAATACGCTTGACTTTGTCTCACCAGCTAGGCCTACATACTGGCCCACAGATCCAAATAAACAACCTGACACTATCGATTTCGCTGTTATTGGAAGAGTTTCGCACAGGCTGACAAAAGTAAAAACCTTAGAAGAGCTTACATCGGACCACTCGCCAGTTCTCCTCTGTCTATCTGAACAGCCGTACAAAAAATATGTAAGTGCACACATCGAACTGAACTGATCCTGAAATTTCCTCTGAATCTGACATTGATAAGTCGCTTAAACACTTCACGGACGTAATGTCCTCCGCCGCCAAACATTCTACGCCAGAACCCTCATCCACAAACCCGCTAAGAACTGGACGCTCAAGTATCCAGATCGAGTCTCTCCTACTTGAAAAACGTAGACTCCGCAGAGATTGGCAGACTCATCGGTCCCCAGCTACTAAGAAAAGACTTAATGAAGCATCTCGAAAATTGTCGAAGGCCCTCTCTAGGCCCAACGAGCCTACATTGCGAAACTATCCCCGACGGGTAATAAATTCCCACTATGGAGAGCTCACCCAAACATGCAACCACCAATAGATCCCGATTGGCCAATTCGATCACAAACAGGTGCCTGGGCGCGCAGTGACGAAGAAAGAGCTAACACTTTTGCCCATCACTTGGAAAACGTCTTCAAGCCTCACCCGCCATCCAATTCTACCGAATGTCTCGCTAGCGTCGCCGTCCTCCCCAGTTACCCTTGAAACCAGCACAATTCTTAAGGCTTTTAAAAAACATATAAACCCAAAGAAAGCTCCTGGTCATGATTTTATTTCTCCAAAAATGATAATTGAATTACCTGCATGCGCAGTCAGATGCATCGCATTTATATTTAACTCAAATGGGGCTACTTTCCTGACCAATGGAAAAAGTCTGTCATTACAATGATCCCGAAGCCAGGAAAAGACAAATCCCAGCCTTCCTCGTACCGGCCCATCAGTCTGCTCCCATGTCTATCAAAGCTATTTGAAAAACTGCTTCTTGTTCATCTAGTAACACATCTTCAAAACAACAGAACGATCCCTCTGCACCAATTCGGTTTTAGGGAAAAGCATGGAACTATCGAACAGGTAAACCGCTTAACATCTGAAATTCGCACGGCTTTCGAACACAAGCAATATTGCAGTGCCTTATTTCTGGACGTATCACAAGCATTTGATCGCGTCTGGATCGACGGTCTGGTATACAAAATCAAAACCCTCCTACCGGAAAACACTCACAAGTTGCTTGAGTCATACCTCAGAAACAGAGTTTTCACCGTGAGATGTAAAACCATTACTTCAACCATCCGTAACATCGAAGCTGGAGTACCCCAAGGAAGTGTGCTTGGTCCAATCTTGTACATCCTTTACACGGCAGACATTCCAACAAGCCGCCAGACCCTCATCTCAACCTTTGCTGACGACACTGCTATTGTCAGCCGCTCGAAATGCCCAAAAACAGCTACAGCCCATTTAAAAGTGTTCTTCCTGGTAGCTGTAGAAAAATGGCTCGCAGACTGGCGTATCAAAGTCAACGAGCAAAAGTGTAAGCACATTACGTTTACACTAAACTTGTCGAAATGCCCACCACTGGCGCTAAACAACAAGCCGGTTCCACAAGCAGACGAAGTCACCTATCTCGGCATACACTTAGACAGGAGGCTTACCTGGAGAAAGCATATAGAAGCAAAGAAGACCCATTTAAAACTAAAGGCCAGCAGCCTTCACTGGCTCATGAACTACTGCTCCCCCCTTCCACTCGAATATAAAGTACTACTGTATAACTCGTGCTTAAAGCCGATCTGGACCTACGGTTCCGAGGTCTGGGGAAACGCAAGCAGCAGCAATATATAAATTATTCAAACAGTACAATCAAAGACCCTACGAACAACAACTGGAGCCCCCTGGTACATCCGCAACGCAAACATCCAGAGAGACCTGGATATAAATCCCGTAAAAGAAGTAATTGTTTCGAGAAAAATTAAATATGAAGCCAGATAATCACCCAAACCTGCTAGCCAGACAACTCAACCGGCTAAGCTATCATTCCCGTCTACAGCGGAATGATTTCATATCCCTCTTCAATAACATAAATTGACGTAACATAGATTAAGATTTGAAAACTTATTGTTAGTCTCTTAAGTAATAGAATAAATAAATAAGAAGAAAGTATAAATAAAAAAAATAAAAAAATACCTACCTCTGGTGTCCACTGCCTTCTCCTCAGATTGTAATGTCTGGCTTGGTCCGCACATACTGTTGCCCATGGTTCCTCTGGTACCTGAGTGAGCATTTTCCCTGCAGCCTGCAGCTGATTGGGCTTGTATTTCAGGCAAACTTCACACTTGGGTCCTGGCGTCCCTGTGCATCCCTGGCCAGTAGTACCGGGCTGCCAGGCGTGATATAGTTCTTCTTATTGCACCTAATCCGTAGTCGCTGGCGTCTGTCTGAAGAATGAACTTTTTCCCGGAATCTGGACACGCCAGCAGTGGATCGGCTACCAGTCGTGCTTTTACCTCTTCGAAGGCCTGTTGGTGTTCCGGCGTCCATATCCACTTTGTGCCTTTGCGTAGAAGATCATTCAGTGGTTTTACTGTTAGCGCAACATCTGGCACAAATCGTCGATACCATGAAGCTACGCCTAGGTATTGCCGTAGTTCGCGTACTGTCGACGGTGGCTCTAGTTCGGCTATGTCCGCTGCCTTCTCGGGATCTATGCCTATCCCTTCGCTAGTAACGCGGTGTCCTAGGTAGAGAAACTCTTGCTTGAAGAATTTGCATTTATCGGCGTTTATTCTTAAGTTTGCTTCCTTGAGGCGCCTGAACACTTCCTTTAGATTTTCCACGTGTTCTTTCAGCGTGCGTCTGATCACAATGATATCATCTTGGTATGCAAACGCGTATGGTGACATCTCCGGGCCGATTACCTGATCTAGAGCCCTTTGGAACGTGGCCGATGCAGAATGTAGTCCGAAAGGCATTACTTTCCATTGGAATAAGCCTTTGCCAGGTACTGTGAACGCCGTATATTGCCGACTATTTATCTCCAAAGGGACTTGCCAGGACTTCAGGTCTAGACTGCTTATGTATTTCGCCTCTCTGAGTTGGTCCAGGATATAATTAATCCGCGGCATCGGGTAGGCATCTTTTATGGACTTCGCGTTTATCTGTCTGAAATCAACGCATAGCCTCCACTTGCCCGTCTTCTTTTTCACCATTACAATGGGCGAGCTGTATGGACTTCTTGAATGTTCTATGAAGCCCATTTGTAACAACTCGTCCACCTTTGCGTTGATCTCTCCTTGGACTCTTGGGTTCTTAGGATAATACCTCTGTTTGATTGGCTTGTCGTCTTTCATGGTGATTTGGTGCTCGGCCACTGTAGATGTTCATGACATAGTGCTGAATTTTGCTAACTGTTCGTCGAGGAATTTTTCAATGTCCTCTTCATCACTTACGTGTGAATCTACCGCCACCGACAGCCTTTCTTCCAGACATCCATTATGCCGTTTTCGTGCCGGTATTCGCAATTCATGCCCGGCACATTTTATTTCCGCCCCGACTCCCGTGAGGAAATTCCACCCCAGCACTAGTTCATCCACTACTCCTGGAAGTATTAGCAGATTCATCTCCAATTGTTTGTTTCCAAACTTCACCGTGATCTCGAGCTGTGAGCTTATTCTGCTGCATCTGCCGTCCGCCAACCTAACTTGCCGTCTTGTCCTTGTGATCCTTCCTTTGTCAGCCAGTCTATCCGCTAGCTCCTCGTTGATGAAACTTGACGTTACTCCCGTGTCAATTGTGGCCTTGAATGCGGCGCCTCCGATTTCAACGTACGCGGATAACTGCTGCTCTTCCTCGATCAAATTGCCAGTTAGTTTGGAGAGGAGGCACTTCGCGACCCCTGTGCGCCTCTCTGCGACTGGGATCGCTGCCCATTTCCCGACCTTCGGCAGCACTCTACGCTCCTGATGCCAACTTTGCCGCACACCCAGCAGAACAGTACTCTTTGGTTTCTGCATCCTCGTGCCCAGTGGTCGTGTCCTCCACAACGGCGACATGCCTCCTGTGGGTTCACTATGTGGGTCTGTGCACTGGTGGCTCTTGGCATTGGGTTGCGTGCCACCTGAGTGGTGTTTGGTGGTCTCCATAACGTGTTCGTTGGCCGCCTTTGTTGTGTTACATTGGCCGGTGTCCACTGGCCGTAGGACGTTGTTTGGTTTACCGTGCTGTCTTGACATCTCCTGCATGTAGTTTGTAGTGGTGCTGCGATTTTGTTCCGAGAGAACTTGTGTTCGTGAACGAATTCTTCTCGCTCTTTGTCTAGTTTTTCGTATTCGTCAGCCAGGATCATTAATGTGTCCAGATCATCCACTTTGTACGTTCTTAGTGAAATTCTCAGGTCTGGTGTGCAGTTGTCCTTGATTATTTCTAGGGTCTCCTTTGGCGAGTACCCGAGTGGCCTCATCAAAGTCTGCATGTCCACCATGTAAGCTTTGAACGGTTCCCTGAAACCTTGTTTTCGCTGTTTCACCTTGTCTGCCAACTTCGAGAAGAACCCTCTCGGCAGAAAGTATGTCTGGAAACTTTCGCTGAAATCTCCCCATGTCCTCCAATGTTTATTGTTTGAAATAAACCATTTCAGAGCTTTGCCTTGCAACAGCTCTGGCATTGCACGTGGGATCATGTTTAGGTTCAGACCGTACGTGTTCGCAGACCACTCCACCTGTTCTAGAAATTCCAGAGGCTTCTCTGTGCCATCGAATTTGAACGACCATTCTCTCACTTGCTTTGCGACTTTGGCGTAATCTGGTGTGCTAGGTCTTTGCTGCCCTGATTTTCTTTCTTGGCTTGTGTTTCGACTCCTGCCAGCTTCCTTCATGCTGTCCACTCCAAGACTTGCTATGAGCTCCTCGGCGTCAGGGTTCAGCAACTTGATTGTTGGGCCTGGCTTATCGTCGTATTTCTCTTCCAGCTCAGCCCAGATCTTTGCTACTCCTGGGTCATCCTTTTTCCTCGTTAGGTACTCTGAGAGGGCTTTCCTCATGTCATCCGTTCTTCCCACCAAAGTGATGCCTAACTTGGCTCCTATTTTGGCGAAATCCTCTTTCTTGAGGAGATATATCCATCCTTTCCCCATTTTCTGTTTATTTGCTGATTCTCACCGACCGGACAATCACGTTTTGGGCGCCAGATGTAACGAACTGATTTTTATGGTCTGCTCGCTACGAGTATCGTGCGGCTAGCTCAGAAGATGTGTGTTGTTCGTCCCACCAAATTTATATAAACGTGACCGCCCGATTGTCTAGTGAGAACGCACAGAAGGTTGGGATATTTACAAAGATCTTTATTCGCCGACTTGTCCCTCAACGCCTCCCTTGAAGAATTGTGGTCGCTCCACCGTCGCTCTCCGCTGCCTCGCTGTTCGCTGCTCGCTGTTCCGTAACGCCTCCGCTGTCTTTGGCCTCGGGGCTTCTGAGGGTCTAGGGATGCGTCACCGTTCCCAGACTAGGGTGAACAGGCACTGGGCTCTCAAAGCGTACGCCTTTCGCAGCCACAGCCTCCTGTCCCTGGATCTGTCCCGGCCGGTCACACCAGACGCCTACACAGTTTCTACCTGACGGTTCAAGCATACGCCGGAAGGCCGCCAATGCAATCCCTGTGGCAGGACGCTAGGTTCAAGACGAACGCTTCCGCCCTCGCCTCTTAGCCGTGGACTGGATACGTCGGAGTGTAGCTTGGTTGTTGCTGGGCCTGCGATGACTGCTCGTCGTTTCTCGTGTCCTCGATGTCCTCGCTCTGCTTGCGGCGCGAATCCTGGCTCCGTTGTCCGCGTGCTCTTGTGAGACTAGGTGCAGCGGGTCTTTGGCTCTCGGGATTCGGTTAGCTGCCCGTCTAGGACTCTGGCGGTGAACTACTGTGCTCTCGACGCATACGCCTCTCGAGACACCCGTGGTTCGGACGCGCGACCTTCTTGGCTAGTCGCACCAGGGCCTGCACAATTCTCGCCTGTCGGTTCAGGCGTACGCCGGAATTCGATAAGGCAATTGTTTTCGCACGGCAGCTGGTTCTGGACAACTTCCCTTCCCAGCCCACGGTTCTTTGTCGGAGGACTCTTTTTATACACTTCTGTCGGACTCGCCGAGCAATACGCCAAGCTCAAGTCGCGATTACAATTAGAACAAAGCGCCTGGACTTAGCCGCGTGATGCCTTAAGGACCTCAGCAACCTGTTTCTCAGCTGTATTCTCAAAACTCTCACCAGCTGAATTCCTCCAAACTCTCACCAGCTGAATTCCTCCAAACTCTCATTTATTTGTGAGGAGTTATTTAACTCCTCACAATGCTCTGTCGCCTTTTGGCCAGAAAATATGGAGGGCCCCGTGGGAGTGAAACTTCCTAGTCGAGGCCAAACAAACGTATTATCTTCAAAAAACTCACTTCTAACCTCTTTCTAACTAAAGCTAACTAAATTGTGTTCTGAAAGCCTTTCCTTGCATATCAGAGTATCGTGTTCACAGAAACCTGGTGAAGCCGAAGATCTTAAGCTCGGAAGATTTTCCAGGTAAGTGCGCAATATATAGGTATAACCGTCCCTCTAGACGGGAAGATGGATTCTTAATTGGACTGGATTCAAGCCTTACGTTAGAGGAGTTATTTTTTGAGGAATTTAACTCTGTATACATAACTTGTTCATGTATTCTGCCGTTGTCTGAACTTTCTAAGTATTTAAGTCACCTTTCCGTTATCAATTATGTTGCAAATAAGCTTTCCAATAGGGATCAGGTGGTAGTTATAGGAGACTTTAATATACCTGGTCCACAGTAGAGGTGGAGAATTATCGATAGTGGGTGGCATCGATTTTCGACTATAGTACATTTTGAACCATCGATAGTCGTCGATGGTCATTTAATGGTCGTCGATAATATCATCCAAAATAAATATAAATTTTTTTGTAAGCAATTGTTTATTTAAACAAAAGATTTTTATTTAAAATTAATTTTCTCCTCCTTGAGCCTGGTTCGTCTCTCTGAAACGATTTGGCCCGCCTTGCTGAAAACTCTTTCCGATTCCACAGATGTTCCAGGCATACACAAGTTCTTAAAAAACAGTTTTTTAAGTGAGGGAAGGTCAGTGTAATTAACCTGGAATACGAATATATATATAAATCCTTAATTTTCCACTATATTATATGGCTGTAAATCCTTAGCAATAATCTCAGTTAAGGCTTTGCCCATGTCGCTTTACGCTTTGAGTTCAAGACGGCTCTATTAGAGTATGAAGCTAATGAGTGCATACTCGATGTACAGCTGCTGCTTGTAGATGCAATGTCGTCAGTATCTACAAAGGTAGCTGGATGGCTAGAATCTGGCTTACCAATTTCCTTTACATGGTCATTTAAGTTCGACGTATTTTCGCTTGTTTTATATTCTTTGCCGCATTTTACAAGCTTTTTGTCATCGGACCTTTTGAACTACTTCCAGACTTCGGAAATTTTAGTCTTTTTGTTTATTAAATTGCCTTTTAGGTGCAAAATCCTTTTCAATCGCATTCCTGCCCTGTACTTGACGCACTGAGTGTGATGGATATCCGATGTTTACCTGAAATTTGACACGTTGTTGATCAAAATACTCTTGTACTATACATTAAGCATACCCTTTTGCAGAAAGCGACCCATATTTAGACGCAACAGAACGCCACAGAACAAGGGAAAATGTTGTTTATTTATTTTACTAGTCCACAGAGGATGGATCGAATGTCTTACTATCTATCTATAGCACAAAATGATTTTATTGATGGCCTGCTTGACATATAGTTTTCTTAAGTAACTCCTGCTCGAATTCACTTGATTTGTGTTTTGTTTTAAATCCTGAAAGTGTGTTTTTGTCTTGGGTAGCACCACTCACGCAACCTAAAGATCCATATTATCCTAAAATCTAAGCGACAATCGACACGGGTACCGTTATAAATGAAAAGTCCGAAAAATCAACGACTTTCTGATGCAAAATAAAATCACTCTTGTAAGCGATCTTGGCGTCCTTTTGTACCCAAAACTATAGTTTTCTGATTGTTTTAGGTCCATGGTTAATAAGGCCAGATGGTTCGTTCCTTAGTGAATTTGATGTCACTAAGAGTTTATTTATTTCGCTAGTCTGTCCGATTCTGGAAAATGAGTCTCCCGTTCACAATGCGGAATACCTACTGACTGCATTCAATCAGGACAACAAAATTGTCTACCTTTCGCTTTAATTACCTTTTTATTCAAATAGACTACTGGTATTTTATTTATCCTTCCTAGCCAATTGTAGAGCGATGCTTGGTATTGTTTTCATTTAAAACCTTGTTCGTGGTGAGCTTGATAGCCCCAACTTGGTAGGATGGCCCAACTTTTCTTTGCCAAATAGATTAGATTGAAATTATATCCTCGCAATATTAAATTAATGTAGATCTTAATATGATTTGCATGAGGGCTTTTAGAGTATTTTGTTCTGATTAAAAGACTTTTGTCTCAAATCTCAAATCTTGACTCTACTGTGACTATTACACAAAATTAGATCTTAAATTTTTCAGCGTACTTTAACATCTATTTTTATTTATCGGTCCGTTGGACGAGAAGCAAGCCGACGGACTATAATTATCGGCAATAGTTTGCTATGTAGAAAAGGAGACAAGGTTGGAACCTTGATCAGCATCACCAGGAGAGTCGATCTAGCCAGGTCTGTCTCTCTGTCCGACCTTACGTCCGTTGGTTATGTGCATTTACGATCGTGAATTTATTTCTAATCGATATTGTCATCGAAGATCGATATGTTGGCTGAAGTGTTACCACCAATCATTTGGAGTTGTGAAATTAAATAAAGATTTTGCTAAAATGCCAAAAGTGATATATAAACTGGTCCATAAGAATATGCTGACACTAGCGCTTTCCATATGTTTGGCTCTGAGGCGTATTTTGGTTGACGTGTTTCATACAAGCACTTGAGTTTAACGACCGGTTGTTTATGTTTATGCAAGTGCATTTTAACACAA